GGTAAGAGGGGAGGGCAATGGCATGTGAAGTATGCTCATAAAACAAACAGGTGAGTGGAGTAGTGTACAGGCCAATGCCTCACACCTTCATGGTTAATGATTGCTCTAGCTTTTGAATTAGAAATCTATAAGAGTGGTGAGGAATGGTCCAATGTGGTCATCACCATGTCAGCCTACTGGTTTGGCTTCTGCAATAAACAGGTTCCTGATCCTTCCACAAATGTCACTGTTGTCTATTGCAGCCTAGTCTGGGAATAAACTTAACTTTTATTGTTGTTTTTTTTTTTCATTTGAGATCATTCACTGGAGTTCTTGTACTGTAATCTTAACCTTCTTTCTGATAAATGCTAAGCTTCTTGTGCTTGGGATCAACTGTTTCTTATCCAGACTACAAACAGGGAAAGTGTGACATACTAACTATAAAAAACACCCTAAAAAAGTGACTCTAACCCTAAACAATAGATGGTTCACCCATACAGTAATTCATACTTTACAAGCAATTGTGGCTCATTCCATCCTGTATATAAAGTGAAAACCAAATAAACAATAAAGAGAAAGCCCCACTGTTATTTCTTTATTAAAAAAAAACACTTGTCTGGGGCATCAAATAAAAAAGATATTTTTCCCCAGAGGATTTTCCAAGGCTGGGGAGTTACTTTAATTTTAAGTAACACCATTAACCTGCAAAATAAGTTGAGATTATTATCTCAGTAATGCTTCCTGTGGCTTCCATTTCAACTCAGATGCCGGTTTTCCACCTCTGCTAATAACCATATAGTATTCTGTAATTAGAAAGCCTCAGAAAGATAAATTTGGAATTCCAGCCACTTTTATTTTTAAATATAACACTATTTTTACAAAGCTTCAATCTTTTCCCAGAAAGTATTGTTGAAAGGTGTCAAAATGCCTTTCTTTTCGAGGATTCGATTTTCCTGCTGGGAGAACTCCGGCGCAAGGAATACGGACAACTGCTTGAAAGCTGGATCTTTTTATTTTTCAGGAAGGTGGAGAACAGCGAGAAGTCTGCGTTCCTGGGCTAGCTAGCTTCTTATGGTAAATCCCTGGTTTTCTATACCCTTTTCTCCCTTTGTAAGTTGATTTTGTGTGAGTGTTTGTATTTGTGCCTGATGTTTCAAATCCTGTTTGAGTTTGTCTTTATTTCCGCCGGAGGGCAAACTCTGCGGGGTGGCCAGATTATATTATTGGTTTTCTGTAATCTCTTTTAGCTTTAAGATAGTTTTTCATAATTGTTCTGTGGCAATCACCTGTCTGTCCCTATTGTAATTTATATTTTGAGTCTTTTGTCTGTTTGTTTTGCTTATTTGGTATGTCCTGTGTTTGTAAGTGTTTTCTAAATTATCTTTTGTTTCCTTTTCCTATTTGTCTAGTTTTCTTAATTACTTAGGCTTTTGTCTATAGGTATTCTTTAATACTTTTTATTTGATTCCTTTTCCTATGTAAGTTTGTTTTCTGGCTGACCTGATGTTCCCCTTGGGCTTTTCCTGTTTTTTGTGACACTACTGCCTTTGTGAAATTCCCTTTCCACAGTATAAAATCAATACATATTTTTGTTGTCACCAAAATATTAATGAAATTAAAAGAACTGGCAAAATGTGAAATAAAAATAATTAAGGGAGGAGTACTGTTTTTGTGGCTGTAATTCTTTCCAGCTGTGATAAATTTACATTTCCCCATTTCCTGGTTTTCATTTTAAAGATTTTATTACATGTGCAAAGTTCAATTTACCAAGTGAAGATAGTACTAGGGCAGCCACTCCCCAAATAGCACATGCTCCCAGGACGGAGCCATGTGGCCTGCAAGGAGCTCAAGAAATGGGAGCAGCCTGCTCTCCTTCCCAAAGGGATTTCCAGACCTTCCAGAATGATATCAATAGTTAAAAGTTAAGTGACTAGTGATGGGGGTAGGTTGGAAGCAGGCTTAAGGCCTCTAAGGAATGAAGAAGGTCAAGAAAAATTTCCCAAAGCCAGGGGGGATCCGGCAGGGCTGGGAGGGAGTTGGTGGGGGTGGGGGAGATGCTATAGCATCATAAGGGTGGTTCTGCAAATTTTGTTCATATGACTGAGGGGACACTGCAGTAGAAATAATTTTAGAACCGGCCATAAGTACTTTTTCAGGGCCCATCATAACTTTGAATGGTTGCATAACTTTGAAGACTTCTTTGATTAGAAAAAAACAGTACCTATATTTATTGCTGACTTTTTGCAAAAAAAGAGAAAAAAGTGAATGTATTTTTTTTGAGTTTTGATGATTAGATAGGACAGATTATAGAAAGAACAGAGATATAACTATAAAGAAAGAGATAAATTTGTAATTGCACTAATAACTGCTGTAAGGAAGATTAGAAGTATTTTTTGTATCTTTGTCCTTACATTTCTATTTTTCTTTTGTGTTTTTCCTTTCTTGGACTTTTAGCTTTTTCTTTGATTGCTTTTCTTCTTTATTTTGTATTTCTATTAGTTTTAATCTTCCTTTTATTTTATTTTTAAATAATATTATACATTAAAAATATTGATTAATTAAAGCTATAGATGATAAGATTCTACCAGTTCTTTATCTTTAATTGGGTTAAAAAGCAAGGTCATTCTAGAGTATCTCCATAATTTTGGAAATAAACTCCCCCTCAACAGTAAATAAGAGCCACTAATGTTGGAATTCGTGTAAAAGAAGACTGGGAAATATCAGCTACAGTGATTTAAGAAGTTTAACTTTTTTCGGTTGAAGTAGTAAGATGTCACAGCTACACAAATAATTGCTACATTTCATTATTCATACAGTCTGCAGTAAATAGAATAAAAAAAAACAGAATTACAGATTTCTTGCCTACTATTCTAGTGCTGCTAGCATGTCTAATTATGTTTTGCTTTTTCTTTGTTTCCATTAATTTTGAGTTTTATTCCAATGATCTGAAAATTTGTTTAGCGTAGACTAAATTAGCAACTTCTTCTGACAATCCACTGCTTGAAGTTCTTTCCTTTTTCAATGGAATTTTTATTTTTATATATAGCCACTCAGTCTGGTTCTTTGTGAGTTGATTCTAACTCTTAAATTTTATAAGGAAGTTTAGCAATATATTCTGCATTTTTCTTTTTAAATAAGGAATATTCTTTAATGCAAACTCCTCTCAGAGTAACCCTCCACATATAGTAATTGTCCTAGAGGTGTTTAATTTGTCACTTAATGATAAGAGTGTGAGATGGCTTTTTAATACTGTTCACTGCATCCGTTTTATCTAAGTTGAATGGATTTAATCCACTATTTTGTCTGTCTGTCCTGGATAATGGGGCATGATCAAATAGGCCAACAAAGTCAAAAGTGACTGAGATAACTGATAACTGAAATTTAAAGAATCAGAAATATATAATCTATTCCTAGAATATATCTTGGATTTTGGGGAGTAATATGCATAATATATAGCTGTTGAATTCATTTCCTTTCAGACATCAGTTAGAGAAAAGGAGTGAAAACCTCATTAATGAATCCCGTTTTTGTCTGCAGAATGTATTTTGGGACATATTTTTATCTAACAGCCTCTGCAACACAATTAAAGTCTCTACCTATAACATAACATCACTACATTTTGACAATTTAGAAAGGATAGAAATTTAACTGGTTTTATTAGGCAATAAATGTGAACCTAAGCATTGGAGAATCTCAACTTATTTTGCAGGTTGATGGTGATACTTAAAATTAAAGCAACTCCCCTAACCCTGGGAAATTATCTGGGAAAAATTATATATTTTATTTGGTGCTCCAGACAAGTGGTTTTCTTTTTATATAAAGAAGTAACAGTGGGGTTTTCTCTTAAATATTGCTTGAAAGAAAGATTTAAACTAGACAAAAATGGTTTTGACTTTTTAAAAAATGAATTTGAAATCATATTTGTATGGTAATGATGAACATGTTATGCCAAGGTTTATAAATTGTTACAAATTGAATTTGAAAAATGAACATGTGCAATAATACATGATTCAATGAGCAGAGAACTTTATGTATAATGCTTGAACAATGGGAAAACTGTGGATGAAGGGTTTAAGATTTACACTGAATTATAATCTAAAATAAATTTTATAAAATGATGTACCATTGATATTTAACACCTGATAAATTGTCAAAGATGTATAAAGATGTTGGAAATGTTACTATAAAGAATTTTTTACCATCTTTGGTGGACTTGAGACAAAGCAAAGAAATACTGGGGTAAGATTTATATTTTAATACAAAAGATTCTCAAAATGAATATAAAGATTAAATGAGAGACTTTTCTTTCAGATTTAATGGACAAGGAACTTGAAAAAATGGGAATATTCTTGTTATACTTGTTGACAGCAACAAGAGTGCTCTATGGACAAAAATGGAAAGATACAATAATTCCCATCATTGAAGAATGGCTGAAAAACTGATGGAACTAGCAGAGATGCCTAAATTAACCACTTTACATTAAAAAAAAAAGACTACATCAAACTTTGTTTCTATTTGGACACCATTCTAGATTTTGCACTTGAGCTTAAAAAAATGAAATATTGATTTGCTGATTAATTTGTTGTTCTAGAAATAGGTAATAAATGTTAAATGTGCAAAAGAAAATGTTGAGGCTATAATATTTTTATTCTATTGCAGTGAAGAGTCAGAAGTTAATGCCTCCTGCCCCCTTATATTTCTCTCCTGCTTTCACTTTTCCACTATTTTATTTTCACTTGTATTTTATAGTTTAGTAAAGCTTAACAACAGTTTAATAAAAATTATAATAATAAAAAGTATTACTGTAGGAACTCTCTTATATTTGATTGGATCATCTCTCCCATACAATCGTACAAGCAGGCTTAAACTTTGCCTCATTTTGCAAAGAGAAAGGGGCGACTCGCAGAGCCTCCGACAGAGGGCCGTTTCCTCTGCCTCTTCTCGTTCGGCCCGGCAGAGGGCGCTCCAAGATCCGGAAGGCGCGCGCGTGCGCGGCGTCCCGGTTGTCCGGTAACGTTCCGGAAGCGTTGGCGGACCCAGGAGGAGCCGAGACCGCGAAGGGACGGAGGGCGGCGTCGCTTCTCCGTTAGGGACGGTGAGCACCAGCTCATTTCCCGAGGTCGTCGGGGTGGGTGTGGGAGGAGGCCGAGTCGGAGCGCGGATGGGGAGGATTTCCCTAGTTTACCACAAAGCCATGAAAGTTGTAACGTAACAGGACTTCGTTTATGCGATAAAAGCAAATCCTTTGTAACACAAACACACACTCACACTCCCTCTCTCTCTCTCTCTCACTCACTCACTCAGGGGCAGCATCCAAGACACAAAAATTTGAATTTATTTTTTTTAAAAAATGTGTGTGTGTGTGTATGTGTTATATATATATAACATACACACTGTATGTATGTGTATGTATGTATGTATGTATATATATATATGTATATATATGTATATATATATATATATATGTATATATACACACACACACACACGCACATATCTTATATATATATTTCTTATATGTATTTCATGTATTCATAGCTATGTTTATACTTCTACCTGTTATAATCGCTTGACTAAATAAATAAATATAAATATACATGTAATTCTGTGTATGTGTGTATGTGTATATATGCATATACATATATATATATATATATATATATACATACACTACACACATACATACAGTACATACACACACACACAGACACAGACACACACATTTTTCTTTTGTTCTTGCTCTCAGCTGTCGTCCCTGAGCCAGTGTTTCTCAAGCTCAGAGGCTGTAAAATAAGTGGACCAATTTCCAGAATTCCCCAGCCATCCCTAGCTGGAGAAACGCTACTGCAAGGGCAAGCGCCTTTTGGGGTGTTAGTCGTGATTGGGGTCCCACTAAGGAAGGGGCGCTCTGCTGTCTGGGGTGATTTACAAGAGGTTCCAACACTTAGTTCTTCTGTCTTCCGGCTCTAACAATATAGAATAACAAAGTTGGAAGACCTTGGAAGTCCCCCTGCTCAGGCAGGAAACCTATACCATAGAATAATAGAATAGAAATAGAATAAATAAAATATCATTTCAGACAAATGGCTGTCCAATCTCTTCTTGAAAACTTCCAGGGTTGGAGCATTCACAACTTCTGGAGGCAAGTTGTTCCACTGATTAATTGTTCTCATTGTCAGGAAATTTCTCCTCAGTTCTAGGTTGCTTCTCTCCTTGATTAGTTTCCAACAGTTGCTTCTTGTCTTGCCCTCAGGTGCTTTGGAGAATAGCTTGACTGCCTCTTCTTTGTGGCAGCCCCTGAGATACTGGAACACTGCTATCATGTCTCCCCAGTCCTTCTTTTCATTAAACTAGACATACCCAATTGCACCAACAGTTGTTTATATATAGTTTTAGCTTCCCATCCCCTAATCATCTTTGTTGATTTCTGCACTAAGTGGGAAGGGAGTTTGCAGGTTGCCTAGTCCAATTCTGTGGTTAAGCAGGAGATCCTATTCCATTCCAGACAAATGGCGGCCCAGTTTCTTCTTAAAAACATCTAGTGTTAGAGTATCACAACTTTTGATGGACAGCAGTTTCACTGATTAATTGTTCTTACTGATAGAAAGTTGAATGGATTGTATCTCTCTTTAGCAATCTTCAACCTGTTACTTCTTGTCCTCCTCTCAGCTGCTTTGGATAATAAGTTGACTCCTCCTTCCCCCTGGGAGCCCCTCAAGTATTGGAAGGCAGCTATGTCACCTGTAGACCTTCTCTTGTTAGACTAGACATATCTAGTTTCTGCAACTATTCACTGTGTGGTTTAGCTTCTAGATTCTTCATCATCGTTGTTCTTCTCTGCACTCTTTGTAGGGTCTCAGCATATTTTTTGTATCATAGCAACCAGAACTAACGCATTTTAAAGTAGCTCTATCCTTTCTCATGATCTCGCTACTATCTGTTGATGCAGCCTAGGATTCCCTTGACTTTTTGCTCCTTCAACACATTGCTGGCTCATACTTAAGTGGCAGTCTACTAGGACACCTAGATCGCTCTCACAATTACTACTGTTAAGCCAGGTATCACTTATTCTATAAGTGCATTTAGTTTTTCTTGCCTAAGTGCAGGACTTTCCTTTCCTTACCACTGAATTGCATTTTTTTTAGTGATAAGGCCCAGCGTTCAAGTCTGTCAAAATCCTTCTGAATCTTGAGGCTATCTTCCAAAGCATTAGCAATTCCCCCAGCTTGGTGTCATCTGGAAATTTGATGAGTTCCCTTCTCTCTCCTCATTTAGATCGTTTATGAAAATGTTGAAGATAACGTTGCCCAAGACAACCTTGAGGTACCTCACTACATACTTCCCTCCATATAGATGTAGTTCCATTGAAGACTACACAGTAAGTGTGGCTGGCCAGCCAACTGCAAATCCATCAGTGTCTAACCCACATTGTTCTATCTTACCAAGAAATATGCTGTAGTCTACTTTGTCAATGAGTGAATGAATGAATGAATTATTGGCCAAGTATGATTGGACACACAAGGAATTTGTCTTGGTGCATACGCTGTCAGTGTATGTGTATGTGTATGTGTATATATACACACACACACACACACACACACACACACACACACACACACTCATCAAGAATCATAAAGTACAATATTTAATATAGTCATAGGGTACAAATAGGCAATCAAATCATACTAGGAAACAGTCAATATAAATCGTAAGGGTACAAGCAACAAGTTACATTCATACAGTCACAAGTGGGAAGGGATGGGTGATAGGAGTGATGAGAAGATTAATAGTGATAGTAATGCAGACTTAGTAAATAGTTGGGCAGTGTTGAGGGAATTATTTGTTTAGCAGAGTGATGATGTTTGGGGAAATGTTCTTGTGTCTAGTTTTGGTGTGCAGAGCTCTGTAGCGTTTTGAGGGAAGGAGTTGAAACAGGATGCGATGGTCTGTAAATATTTTCACAGCCTTACAGAAGTCTAAGTAAACTGTGTCCACTGCATTTCCCTGATTCACTAATTTAGTCACTTTGTCAAAGAAGGCTATAAGGTTTGTCTGGCACGATCTGTTTTTGAAAAATCCATATTGGCTTCTAGTAATGGCTTTACTTGCTTCTAAGCAGATCTGTTGCTGATCTGTTGATCTTTTCCAGGATATTCCCAGGTATTGATGTTAGCCTGATTGGTATATAGTCTCCTTGATCCATTTTTTCCCCTTTTTCAAGAGTGGAACTGCATCAGTTTTTTTCCAGTCCTCCGGTAATTCCTCCATACTCCAGGATCTCTGAAAGATTTTAAAAGTCTTTTTGCCCCATTTGCTTTTTCCAAGTGTGGCTTATCCAGGTGAGCATTATAGTTAATCAGGGTGTGTGTGTGTGTAAAAGGGGTTCACAGGCAACAATGATTTCCAACCTTCTAGTTGCCTTTTTTTTAACTCTCTTGCTAAATGCTCCTTGTGGAATTCGGATGTTTCTGAATCTTTGTGATTTTCAAAAAGTTTATAATACTGTAATTACAGTAATAATATCAAAGACCCTTGGAAAACACATGTGCTTTAATTGTTTTAAAACTTTCCAAATACTTTGGAAAGTTATGGTTTTAATGCAAATATTTGCTTATATAAACCTACATTTACATATACCCTGGATATAGAAAATCTACACATTCCTGTTAAAATGCCAGGTTTGAGAGGTTAAAAAAATCAGACTTCAGAATTATTGCCACCTTTAATATATGAGCTGTATAATTCAATTTAAAAAAACACAAATCTTTTAGAAGGAAAAATAACAAAAAACGTACAACAATGTGGTTGCATAAGTATGCACATGCTCTTATAAGTAAGGATGTGGCTGTGTTCAGAATTAAGCAATCATATTCAAACTGATACTAAATAGTAGTCACTACATCCCTGGCATCAATTACAGTGATTCTGATTGAGCCCATATAAAGTCCAGATGTTCTAGTACAGGGGTGTCAAACGATTTCTTCAAGGGCTGGATAAGCATTGTAGTTCTCTTCCACGAGCCAGCCGAGGTGGGGAAGGGAGATGGGACAGACGCCTCCTGCAGCACCCTGCCAACCAAAACGGGGCATGGGCCCCCCGTGTGCAGTCCGGTCCTTTGGTATTTCCAGGCCCACAGGCCAGATTTTAAGCACCCCATGGGCCGGATACAGTCCACAGGCCTTGAGCTTGACACCCCTGTTCTAGTAAGATCTTCCTGACAGTTGCTCAGTTGTCTCTTATAGCAAAAGCCATGATCTGCAAAGAGCTTACAAAGCATCAAATTGATCTTTTTGTTGGAAGGTAGCAGTTAGGAGAACAGTACGATTTTTTCCCCCAAGGCAATTGATAAAAATGGAACACTGAAGATAGACAGAATTATGCACACTTCCAAATATTAGTCAATTTTGGCACAAAACTCTCATGCCTCTGCTAAAATGCTGAAGATGAAGATTTTCACTTTTCAGCATGATGACCCAAAGCATACCCCCCAAATCAACGAAAGGGTGGCTTCACCAAAAGATCATTGAAGATCTGGAATGACCCAACCAGAGCCGAGACCTGAATCCAATTAAAAATCAATTGGGGTGACCTAAAGAGGTTTGTACCCTTGGAATCTGATAGATTTAGAGTGTTTTTAGAATGCAACAAAAAGTGAGCAAACCAAGCTAGGGCGGGGTGGGAAGGTGGAGCACCCGCTTACCTTAGGACCACTGCAGCCGGGCCTCCCATGCCCTGGCATCTGTCGCGTTGCTGCCCAATTTCTGTGGCCACTCACAGCCGCTGTCTGCCAGACGCCGCGTGGCTTCTTGCTCCAGTGCTGCCGCTCGCAGCAGGAGGCTGTGTGGTACGTTGTGCTGTTGCACTTGTGAGTGGTGGCGCTGGTGTGATGCGCCACACAGCCTCCTGCAAGCGGTGGCACTGGTGCAACGTACCATGTAGCCTGCCACAAATGGCAGCACCGGCACAACAAGCCATGTGGTGTGCTGTGAACGGCAGCACTGGCGCAATATGCTATGTGGTGTCCCACCGCAGAAGTTGGGCAGCGGCGCAACAGGTGTTGGGGTATGGGACGCCTGGGTGTGGTGGTCCTAAAGTAAGTGGGTGCATAGGGTGTGGGGCAGCTCTACCCTTCACCTCTGCCCTAGCATGATTTTTACACATGCGCCTTGCCCCACCTCATACAACCAGACAGTGGGACAGAGTGGGCGGAGTCTTAACTAGGGCTTGGTTTTGGGGGGGTGGTAGGGCTTATATTAGGTGCATACATAAAATCAAGCTGGGGCTTATTTTCAGGATAGGTTGTATTTTGGGGGAAACATAACTTTGGGGAATGAAATGGAATTGTATGGAAAGTTCCCAATTATACTTTGAAGGAAAAAATGTATTATTAAGAATTAATCGATAATATTTGATGCTGGATGGATTTGAGATCATGACTGCAGTGGGTTATTGTAGATTAGAAGCTGAGATGAATTTGTATATTTAACATGAACTTTTCCATATAGCTAGTCTGGTGACTACTTGTAGTTATAACAGTGATCAAAAAGTAATTTTACAACCAGTCGTCGTCATAACCATTGCAGGTCTGTAAAGCAAAGCAAAGCTGAAGATCATAAGCACAATTGTGATTTCACTGAGCAACTGCTTCCCTTTTGTGGTTTCACTTAGAAACTGCTTTACGTAACAATCGAGTTGCCATGCCCAATTGTGGGTATTAAATGAGGACTACCTGTAGTAAGTGACAAGCAGTTTATATGCTGCTGTATATATTAGACTTCTAAGTTGAATTTGGTATAACATTTATATTTCTCAATGAAGTCAAAATTGGTCCAATCAAATATACTTCCGTAATTAAAAAGAAGGCTTAAGGTAAGTTGCTTTATAATAAATATTATGCAGAATATTTTTTGTAACCTGATAATTACTGCAGTGAATAATATCTTCCATGCCTACAGGTTTATTCTTTATATCTACTAGCTTGGCTGGGCTACAATAGGGATATATCCAGACAAAGTTAATTATCTCCAATTATGTAGCAAGTGAGTGATAATAGTTAAGTGATATTAGTTTCAAGAAGCCTTTAATCTCTGTTCAGCGGGGAAATTTATACGAATGAAAGTGAATATTCGTGTCCCAGGATCTCCGGGATCCAATCTGGGTTGGTCACCAGGTCACCGAGCTTTCGGACTCGTGCTGGAGTCCATCTTCAGGGATGGACTTCTCTCTAGCAGAGTGTTTGCTGTTCTGTGTGTGGTATTTATAGTGCTTGTTGTATGTGGTTTTTAGATATTGATTGGGGTGTATTGACTGCTTTTTTTAGGATAATGGCAGGAAAAGTAAAGTGGGTGACTGACATAGAGAAATCTGTATTAATAAACAATTTTGAAAAGCGAGGGTGGATCCCAGTGTCTGAAAATGAAGACTGGAACTTCTACTGGTAAGCAACATTTTTTTACATATATTATGGAGTATTAACTACACAACTCTCAAAGGCGATTGATTAATGCAGATAGTCCTTGACTTATGACTGGTCGCTTACCAACTGTTTGATGTTATGACAGACCTCTTCGGGACTACTTATGAGTCTGATTCAAAGTTCCAATGGCCAGGGCTTCACTGTGGTCATGTGGTCACATTAGGGGTGCTCAACAACTGTTTGCAGTGTTGAAGGAAATGCAGTTAGTCTCCCTTCTCCCAGTATTTAGGAAAATTGTTCAAAAATCATATGTTTTGCTAACATTTTACCCGTTAGTTAATTTCAGTGATAGTAATTCTGATAGTATTCCAAGTGTGGTCTTACCAAGGCTTTGTGAAGTGGTCCTAAAACTTCATGTGACCTTGATTCTATCCCTCTGTTAATGATATACAGATCTGGGGGAGAATTAAAAAAGTCATTACATTAAAATACCCGGTTGGCTATCAACCATGAAGGCGATGATTTATCCAAATACAGTGGACTTATATAAAATGGTAAGACATAGTGAACTGTTAGACAACCAAGGGAGGCTCAAAACAAATCAAGAATTGAGAGACGAAGGAATAAACATAGCTTGGTGGCCATATTTACAATTGCAGGCAAGGTATAAAAAAGATTTAGAAGAGTACGGCTTTGATAAAGAACAACAACAATTGGATAAAATTCTATTGGGACCGGAAAATAAATTCATAACAAAAATATATAATTATTTGTTAAGAGTTAAAACGGAAGAAGAAATAGTTAAAAGGGTCCACGATAGCTTGAACAAGGAAGGAATTTTGGGTATAACATCGAACTAGAAGAATGGGAAAAACTATGGACAAAAAATTATAAATTAACAATGTCCACTGCCTACAAGGAGAACCTCTACAAAATGTTTTATCGTTGTCATTTACTACCGGCGAGACTGGAAAAGATGTACGCAAATATGAGTGTGGAATGTTAGAAGTGTAAACAAAAACAGGGTACTTTTTTTCATATGTGGTGGTCATGCCCTGAAACTAGGAAATATTTGGTAAAGATAAGAAAATGGTTACAGGAAATAACAGGTCTTCAAATTGAGCTTAAACCTGAACTTTTCTTATTAGGAATAAGAGGATAATTCAGTAAAAAAGTTAAATATATTATATTGCATATAGTGACAAAGGTTAGAACTGCTTTTGCACAAAGTTGGAAATTGGACAGCACCCCTTCTGAGGGAATGGTAATAAAAAAAGTATTGGACTGTGCAGAGATGGATAAGCTTATTTAGAATTGAAAGACAGAGAAGAATCGGAATATTATGCAGTCTGGGACAAATGGTATAGTTGGCTAGATAGTAGAAATAAGGATTAAATGTATATATGCATGTAAATGTATGGGTAACATGGATGTCACAGTGTTGTAAAGAATGTAAAAGAGATTTGTAATTTTGAAAAAGTGCAATAAAATATATATATTTTTAAAAAACACAAAGTTCCAATGGCCAGGGCTTCCCTGCGGTCATGTGGTCACATTAGGAGTGCTCAACAACTGTTTGCAGTGTTGAAGGAAATGCAGTTAGTCTCCCTTCTCCCAGTATTTAGGAAAATTGTTCAAAAAATAATATGTTTTGCTAACATTTTACCCATTAATTAATTTCAGTGATAGTAATTCTGATAGTATTCTGAGTGTGGTTTTACCAAGGCTTTTTGAAGTGGTCCTAAAACTTCATGTGACCTTGATTCTATCCCTCTGTTAATGTAGCCTAGGATTGCATTGGCTTTTTTTGGGCTGCTGATGTATTCTGTTGGTTCATATTTAAGTGATTGTCTTCTTGGACTCAAAAGATCCCTCTCACAGTTACTGCTTTTGAGCCAGGTTTCCCCTAATCTGCACTTGTTCATTTGTTTTTTCCTACCTAAGTGTAAAACCTTACTTTTCTCAATGAAAATGATTGTTCACTTCCAGAAGGGCTTCATTGGAGTGGGCTAGGCTAGGAGGAGCTTTGCTCTTGGTTGTTGTTTTCTTCTAAAAGTGTCATGTTTCCATCGGTCTTCCTCTTTAGGTTTGTATATAGGGTCAATTTTTATGGAAACTACCAGTATTTGTTTCCTATTGTGTTCAATTTGTGTGCATCCTTTTTCTTCTTTAAGTTCATATATGGGGTCATTTTTTAAAGAAGCTGTTTGTTCCCTGTTGTATTTAATTTTTATGTAGTCTTCTTACTTACGTTGGGGTTTCTTACTTTGTTGGTTGAGTTTCAGAGTGGCTAGAGTTGCCTTCAGACCCTTTATTTTTCTTCTAGTAATTCATATAATCTACATTTGGTACATACATAGTTTGGTTTTTCTATGGGCATAAGCTGAAACATACGACATTTTGCAAGTCACTACAATGTCAGTCTCTTTCCATGACTTTGGTTTTTCTGTTCTCTGCCTTGAAAATTCATCACTATCTTCCCTGTTGTAAAGTGTCAGTCTCTTTTTCGGTGGCTTTGTCCCCCCCGCTCAGACCATTAAGAATTTAAAAATGTCTAAAAATTAAACAAACAATTTTTTCAATTTTTATTTTTTTAAAACTAAAAAAGCAAATTAAATTTACCTTTATTAGATTGCTGTATACTTAAGCGTATCGGAATAGCTCAGTAGATTTAATGCATCAAGAGTTTATACTCCATGTATAGAACAGAATAACAGAGTTGGGAGGGACCTTGGAAGTCTTCTAATATCTAGCCCAACCCCATGCACAAGCAGGATACCCTATAGATTCTGGACAAATGGTGTCCAGTCTCTTCTTAAAAATATCCAGTGATAGAGCAGCCACAATTTCTGAAGGCAAACCATTCCACTGGTTAATTGTTCTGTCAGGAAATTTCTCCTTAGCTCTAATTTGGTTCTCTGCTTGATTGTTTTCCATCCCTTGCTTCTTGTTCTTTGATAAGTAGGTTTTGATACTTTGGTGCTTTGATAAGTACAGTAGGTTAACCCTTATTTTATTTATGTTATATATATATTTATGTTTTATTTTATTCCATTTAATAAAAGTCCTGTTTTATTGAAGGTTTAGGAATCACTCATTCTGTTGACCAACACTATTTTCCCCACAATTGATCATACTCAGAAAATCAAGTTAAATTTCTAAAAACCCCTTCTGGTTTCCTATGTTCTCTGTGCTTCAAAGATAACATTGTGCCAAGTGCTTGGTGTTCCTGATTTTTGAGAGGTAAAATTACATCCAGATAGCTAACAACACCTGTGTACTTGTGTTATAATCAAAATAAATGTGAAAGATTATCGGAAGTGTGGTTGCATGGAAGGGTTGAAACAGTTTTCTTTTATGCCTTTTAAAATTTTCAGTTTCTTTTGCTAAACATATTGAATTCATGTCCAATTTATTTCAGTTGCAGATTTAGTTGTTTCGTGATAATCCAAGATGTTTCACGACTTATGATATTTGCATATTAGTCAAGATATATTGTACAGCAGTTTTAATTTTTCACTGTGACTAGATTTCTTTTATTGTTGTAATTTTTTTAAGGATGAAAAAGTAGTAATAAAACACAGGATTCATATCTAATCTGAATCAGTTTTTGGAAGCATCCTGAGTAAATAACCTTGTTTTTACAGGATGAGCGTACAAACTATTCGGAATGTTTTCAGTGTAGAAACTGGTTATCGTCTCTCTGATGATCAGATTGTCAATCATTTTCCTAACCATTATGAGCTAACCCGGAAGGACTTAATGGTAAAAAATATTAAAAGGTACAGAAAAGAACTGGAAAAAGAAGGTAGTCCTCTTGCAGAAAAGGATGAAAATGGAAAATATCTTTATTTAGGTAAGTTGGTTTAGGTAATTAGAATTATTTGTGTATAACTTTGAATACCAGGTATGCTAAGGCTGCATCTTTACATCTGCTTAAAAGTTTTCTTCAGGTTTTATGCAACTTCAACTTTATGGACACACTTTTATGGAGCAGAGAAACTTTTTGGCAACAGAGGAGAAATGGTTTCCCATTGCTGCGTTTATAGTCCAACCTAAGACTTTGGACCCTGATGATGTCCCTTCTGGGCAAGATGCAGTTTTTCTTTTCCTGGAAATCAGGACACAAGTCATGATCGAAACCTGATTTATAATCCTATTTTCAGGACAAATATTAGCCATAATTTGCTGGTGCAGTGGTATTCAGCAGGTTCTGACCAGTTCTGGATAACCGGTAGCGGAAATTTTGAGTAGTTCAGAGAACCAGCAAATACCACATGTGACTGGAGATTTTACAGTATCCTTCCCCTGCCACGCCCACCAAGCCACGGACACAGAACCAGTAGTAAAAGAAAAACTGAATCCCACCAATGCATATGTAAAAGTTTGACTTGTAGTGGCTACATGAACACATCCATGTTGTTTCCTGGCTGTTTTAACCTGATTTTTATTGTAACTTGTATATCAATTGTCTCATTCTTGAAAATCACAGTATCTGCCATCAGACGTTCTAATGATGCCCCCTGCATTTAGGAAACAGAACGAAACATTGTTGGATGCCTTCGAATTAGCATTGTTTGGGCAGCAGCCACTCCTGTCTTTGGAATGCCTTTCTTAATTGCAATTGCACCCACTCCCTAATTACAAAATGGCCTTTGGCCACAAGTACTGCTGCAATTAGCTGGAAGCAATAGGAGCACACAGCATGAAAATCTTACAAACAACTGAGGATTAACAAAGGAGAAATAGAAGACCAAGGAAGCCCTGCGTGAAAAATACTAGCAGAGAGTTAGTGGGAGAAAGGACAGGGATGGCATTGCATCTGCTGAATTCCATTGGTGTCAAGGGTATAGGATGCTGGGAATTGGAAGAAACTGATGGGTAGCTTACCGTCACAGAAAAAGTGGGGAGGGTGATATAGGTGTATAACCAAGATATAGAGAAGGAAGGCCAGTAACATTTGGATGGCAGCCTCTAAATCAGTTTTCACTGCTTCATGTGATTTATAGCAGCGACCTCCAACCTTTTGGGCACTAGAGACCAGTTCCACGGAGTTTTTTCAGTGGACCGGTGAGGGCATGGTTTCGTATGCTGCCTGCATCCGGTGGATGGAACTTTCTTGTTTACATGGACTGGTTTCTGGCATGCCACAGACCGGTGTCAGTCCCCGGTCTATGGGTTGGGGACCTGTTGTAATGACGAGGCAGTCGAGTTGTTTGATCATGAACAACCGAATTATGATGATGATCTTTATTGGAGTATAGTCTTGCATTTATATACATTTTTAGTTATCCTCCATCATTGGTTAACTTTGGTTACTGCTTAATTTTCGTTACTGTTTAGTACAGTAATCCATACAATTAATTATCTCTAGTTAAAGTCTAACATATGTCTACTTCCCCTCTCTAATCCTCCTTTATCCATAGACTTTGTTTGCCTGAGTTGTATTTGCTTGGAAACATTCTTTATCTGAGGTTTGCCATCCGAGATTAGAACATTCCTGCAATTACAACTCTACAGGGACCCCTGGTTTATAGTACTCATTTCTCTCTGCTCCAGACTAATGACTATCTAAGCCAGGGGTCGCCAACCTTTTGGAGCTCAGGGACCACCAAACTCATAATTTTAAATCCCGCGGATCACTAATATGAATTTTGATGGACAGTGGCTTGCTGACGTTGGTGGGAAAGTCAGTCCCATATTCCAGAGCTGCAGTAGTCACAGGACTGGCCCTTTGGTCACCCCGGAGCAGCTGCTCCTCCACCCGGGTGCACCGGCCTGCCATGGACTGCAGGAGCTGCTCCGGGATGACCAAAGGGCCAGTCCTGTGACTACTGCAGCTCTGGA